GCTTTGATGCATAGTGAACATATGGGATGGAAATCGGAAGGAAAAGGAGAACTTTCTATTGCATAGTAAATACATAGCTATGTAAAGACTATGAAAAGATTTTGAATAGTATTTGCATAGGTATTAAAAAGCTATGTACTTTTCAAATAGCCTAAACATAGTTTCAACATAGATTTTTCATACTTTGGACTATGTTGTGTGGTATGTTACATAGTTAATACACAGGCAGAGGTGAACATAACATAGCTGAAACATAGTCCAACATAGTAAACAAATAGCATGAGCATAGGTTTTGCATATGTCTGGTTCTACAAGGGATTAATCATACTAGGCAGGTACTGTTGCCAACATTAATTTAGTTCGGACTTCTGCTACTGAAGAACGAATGGAATGCACGATCTGATAAATAAAGCAGATTTATCTTTGATGTATTTCTGTGTGTTCTGCCATGAATCTTAACGATTTAGTCGACTCTTTGGCTCTATTACATCACAGGGAGGCCACATAATCTGTTTGTGTAACCGACTGTTATTTTATAGTAAATGTCTTGGACTGCCATTTGCTTCATCTATAGTAATATTTCGCTAAATATGTACATGATAAACATTGTATTACCTTACCTGCTGTATATTGTTGGGGTATTTTGAGCAATTTGCAAGGATTTTGAGAAACAGTATCAAAAAAAGGTGAACTCAACCTATCCTTCCAAATTGCTCAAAATACCCCTTTTGAGGCAAAAAGACGACAGTATACCGCAGGTAACGTAATACAACGTTTATTTAACATTGACCCGTGTACAGATTTAGCGAAATATCGCTACAGATGAAGTAAACGGTAAATTCAATACATTAACAATAAAATAACAATCGGTTACACAAACAGATTGTGTGATTGTGTGGGCGCCCTGTGATTACACACACCCTGGTAGGGTCAGCTCATACGTCCAAATCCCCAAGGTAGGGCTAACAGAAAAAGTGCAAATGCCCGACTCAGTGGAAAAACTGAATTCCTAAACATCCTTCAGATAATTACTGCAGAACTATGATTTCAGAAATGCGAATTAAACAGCTGACACAACGCGCTAGCATTCTTTAAGCCATTTTATAATACAGTCTTGAACTGAGTTGTTTTAAGAACTCAGGGGATTTTTACAAAAATCCCTCGGGACGTTATAAGAGTCTATAAATCCTGATCATTTCCACTACATTTAAAGTAATATATTCAAATACATGCAAATGTCGATCGTCATGGTTTAAGCATAAACTTACATGAGGCATGCAGCTATATGAATATGTATGAATCTCGCCGATGTACTGATCAGCTTTCAGCCATATATTAGAATGGTAAGTAAATAAGGATCAATCACTTACTCGAAAAAGTTTCAATCGATCCTTCCAAGCCTTGATTCCCAAACCAAGAGCTTACGAATTCGCGAGATCTTGTCTAACAAAGCTGTTTCCCTCCGCCATTTTTCTTTTCGCATATGGACGCGGGAAGAGAAGGACCCTGGGAACGAGGGAACACGATGGGAGTGGGGGGAATTGGTGGGGGGTGGGGAGGTTGGGGGTAGGCGACGGCATTTATCAACTCAGTTTTTGTACTTTTGTACTTTGAGGTTATCAGGAAATTTGAGATGAATAACGCGTTATGAAAGAATTATAAAACCTGAATTAGAACGTTGCTTCGACATTCCTATCCCCGGGCTGTTTTCGCAAATGTCCCACCCTTAGGTGGCATGCCAGACAAATGCCCGAGGGGAATAATGACGGAGCCATTAGATCAGGGGTTGTCTATGTACCAATTCAGTTGTTCTTGGGATTCTTATAGTGCCGCTTATCCGAAAAGGTAAGAATCCGCTGATTGTTTGAAACAAACAAGAGCTCGAGACGTGCGTGGTCCTTATGTTTGGGGTTACCCTCCCTCTCAGGCGTAAAAAATAAATAAAATAAAACATGTAGTGGCTTGCCATGGATCCCTACATGGGTGCCTGTACTGCGGCTTGCACGTGCAAACACACACAAACAAAATAAATACCTACAGAAATTTCAAGTGCGTTTTATGTTAAAAATTTGACTTGAGGTGAATAAAAACAACTGAAAGTTGGTATTTAGAAGGACAAAGTGATCGCTAGAAACAAACGAAAAGTGGCTCTTGGCAAAAGCGACAGATTTGTAACGAGATGAACGACATTTAAGAGGCGGTCAATGTAAGAACCGACCACTCGAATTTCGAATTTCCGCGGAAAACAGAATTCCTTTCTGTTTTCAAACAAGTTTGTCTTGCAAAGCATTCTGGTCTAGAGCGGGCGCTAAGATGTAACTGGACAGCGTTAAACCGCGGGAAAACTGAGCCGAGAAAAGATGGCGGCTTGACTAAACAGTAGTTTTTGTGTTCTGCGATTCTACTCTTTGCATTACTCAAGATGGTTTTCTGTAGGACAGTTTTAAGCAATCGCAGTTTTATCACAGGTCGTGTTTAAGTTTTGATCGTGACGCAATCAGAATTACGGTCGACTCTTCTCGCAGATGGCAGGCGATGAGTAGGGGAAACCGTCGGGGAAACCAGAAAAACCGACTATTATGAGAAACTAAACGTAAAATTTGTGGAGTAGGAAAATGATATGCGATAGTACTGCCACAGATGACGATGCGACAGAAGACGAAGAAGAGAAAGAAATTGCTGGCGTAGGGTGTCAAAGTCATGAAGAGGAAGAAGAATCTATTGCAAAACGGTGAGGGAAACAACTTAATACAGTGGAACATTCTCCTTTGGAACACCTCTATTCAAAGGACACCTCCATTCAGGGGACGCAAAATTGGGTCCCGAAGAAATGTTCACATAATCTTTGTATCCTTTACCTCTATTGTAGCGACACGTCTATTCAGGGGAAAGGGACACTTTTTCTGGGTCACAAAAGCTGGCTTTACCTTCCATTCAGGGGACACCTTAGAAATCAATCAGTGACTGGCCACAAAAATTGTCAATACGTTTGTGTTCACCAGTCACAATGGCGAGAGCATTCAAAACATGAATTAACTCATTTAAATCCATGTATGTGTAGTGCATTTGTGGGAATTCAACACACAATATCGCAGACAATGTACATCATCTAGCTGCTTGAAATAATGACTGCAGCAGATTCCGGAGCCTGCAAGAGCAGATGCCTTTGTCAGCTCTAATAGAAATAATTGTGACCTCTCACACGAAAACGTACACTAACGGTTTTGTGTTAAACGGGCAAAAACCAACGGCTAACCAACGGGTAGCTAATGGTTTCTCCAACGGCTTTAATGGCTTTCTCAACGCTTTCAACGGGTGCGCAAAAACTTTCAACGGCTTGTAACTTTTTCCAAACGGTTTGTGATGATTTTTCCAACGCCTTTTCATGACGCTTTCAACGGGTTGCCTAACGGCTTTATTTCAACGGTTCTTCAAGATTTCCAACGCTTTTCAACACTTTCAACGCTTTACAATGCTCTTGTATAATAATTTTCAACACTTCCCGAACAAGAAGCTGAACGGCTGTAATTTATGTAACCAGTGGAGACATGGTATTGGAGAGCGCGTAAGGCCGATATAACAACAAAATCTTCAGTGGCTATAAGAGCTCAAACGTCTACAGCACTGCTAGGAAATTCAATCGTCCCAGGTCGAAACAAAATAATTAATTCGAACTTCACCTCTCGATCATCGCACCATGTCAATTTCTCGGCTGTGATTTGCATACTGTGCCAATCAGTATTCAGTGCTGTTTGGCGTTGACATGAGAAAGGCCGATCTGAGATCAGAACAAAACGACACGAGTGGCCGAGGTGCGAGAGCTCAAAACACCAGACAGCTCGAGTCCAAACAAAATCGAACTTATTGCAAATTTAGCCATTGTCTAAACACCGACTTCATACTCCTCATCTATATTATTTTGTAATATAATTATTCACTTCAATCGTCGCAGCGTGTCAATTTCTCCGCTTACTTGCCAAATTTTATCGAAGGGAAGTTTCATTCACAATTCACCATAAATACATCTTATTGGTTTATATCACGCGCTTTCAATTGTCAACACTGTATTCAGTTGTTTATCTAGTCTGCAAAAGTAAACATGTGTGCGATAAAGCTGCAATTTTTTCCGCAACTCGAGCCCTCAAAAATTGGCAAAGACGGGCTTTTAAGCGTTCTGCTTGAAAATTTGCATATTTCTGGCACTACATAACCCCATAATAACTCCAATACGGAGAAAAAACACGGTTGAGGAAATATAACGCGGAAAAACCGGCGAGCGAAGCGAAACCGAGCTAAGGCCTGTTTCAAACTTCGTGCTACTGCCGTGCCGAACTCAACCGTTTCTTTATTAAGGTTTTCAGCAACAGCCGTTCAGTCGAGCACGACGTTTGAAACAGGCCTAACTTCGCTCGCCATTTTTGCCCACCGCAGAGGTCGTTCACAAGGTAATTATTACCATGCTCTCAATTATTTCTTGATTTCAACAAACAAAATGTTCCCAGGAATTTACTTAAGCCTTTATTAACAAATAACTGAAACTTATGGGGACTGAACCCAATACAAATGTGGAATTGTTTAAAGAATTACGAATACAATTTTAAAAGCTCTGAAAACATTGATAGAAGGAGATTTCTATTTACAATGTAAACCCTTATGAAAAAAGGAAACAATGGTTATTTCTCGCGGAGAGCACGTTCAAATCTCTTCGACCGACACTTGGCATTTATTTTGCATTTAACAAGCCGCCAGCACTTGCTCTCCTCCTCTTCGTGTACGTTTTCGCGTGAGAGGTCACAATTAGTTTTGATTAATTATTAACAAAACCTAGCTCGGCTTCCATTCATGGGACACCTCTTCTCAGGGGACACCTTCCTTGGTCCCAAGGGTGTCCCGCTGAATAGAGGTTCCACTGTATTTTAAAGACCTAATTAAACATCACACCCCAAGACTACATAAGGCAACTATATGGAGCCTACTTACCCCCAGATATGGAAATTACAGGAAAAATTATCACAATCATGGGGAGACTGATGGAATTGAATCAGTGTGTTTGGATTGCAAAGATGAAGATACAACATTAAAAGGTACATGTAAAGGCTGATTTAGAGGGTCAGTTTTTGCTTACGACTAGTTATGCATGACCAGCATATGTCATGACGTCACGTCAGATGGTGTCATGTAAATTAGACCCATGACATCGGTACAACACATGTCGGTGTCGAAAGGGAAAATTGTGCATGTGTGGGTGGTCGAAAGTCATGACGTATGCTAGTCGTGCACGACAGTCGCAATCAAAAATCGTATATCGTTTTATTTTTTTTACTCGTTTTATTTTAATTTTGCCTGGTAAGTATTTTCTAGTAAAACATACATGTACCCCTCACTGGTTGGTTCTTGCAAGTGAAATACGACACAAGTATTTTGCTGAATGCCAAATGACTGAAGTTTAGTTAATATTAGGGTTAGGAGACCTGAGTGAATCAAGTTCCAGTTTGGTTTGCTCTGTATACCGGTAATGACCCTAGCTGTAACTAAATACACTCAGATTCCTAACCTTCATCACTAACCTTCAGAGTCATTCAGCAGTGGCTCTACTGAGTGACATAGGCAGTGTTCACACTTGTTGCCTGGGCGCAATGCCCGAGTACAGTACTCACTGGGCGCTAATGTGAACACACCCTTTTCTTCAGGTGCTCATGCTAGAATTTGGGCACATTGCCTGTGCCTAAGTACAAGGTCAAGTCATTTTCCTCGGGCACAAAAATGGGCACCGGGTCCCTGTGTACACACCATTTTTGTTGGTTCTGGGAAAGTCAACTGCTTTGTACTCACTGCTAAGCTCATGTTTCAAAATGGCATCTGGCAGGGTGAAATGAAGTAACTACTATACAGTCACTAATTGGGTTAACTCAAGGTGTGAACACAACCTCATTGTATACCGGTACCCAGGCACTGGTTCCTGGACACCAAGTGTGTACAGTCCCTGCGATTTATCAGTGTTCTCTCCATACATGTTCATGATGTCATCAACTTTGATTTTAAAAGAGGCAATGCTGGCATCTTAGGTTTAAATGATTTTTTTGCAAGAAATTGTAGTACATGCAGATTGAGATGTACAAGTCATGTACTTGTACCTGTCATAAGGCTTTATAAGGAATGAGGGCAAAAGAATAAATATGCACATATGGGTCACAATAATATCATTAAACCGCAGATTTACGTGTACTGAATTTAAACAAAAGGCCAAGTTTTCTCAATTGAAGGGGCTCGGTCACAGCTGTCTAGTTCATTTTGTAAATAATAAACATTTATTGGATGAGGTTTTCGTGATATCCGGAATAATCAAGGTCGAGGTAAGGGTTATCAGTCGAGCCGAAGGCCGAGGCTGATGAAACTTACCAAGACCTTGACTATTCAGGATATCACAAAATCCTTATCTAATAATTGTTTTATTATACATTGTTTTGAAGAAAATAACGACAGACACACCGTCACAAGGAACCTGAATTGATACAATATTGTTATTGGAAATCATGCATTGCACGCACAACCTACAGATTGGTCAGTTATCTGTTAGCAGATAAGTAACTAAACTGTAGGTTGCACTGATTTCCAAAATTAGCTGCAGGCCCTTTAAGCCAATGAGAAGAAAGATAATGAGTGCAATGTATCATAATGCCAATAACAGGCCCTTATTCAGTGTGAAAATGGAGAAATTGCATTGTACTTGTGAATGACAAAATATCAGCTTCATGTCACCAAGTTTCAAATGTTGCTAACAAAAAAAAGGGAACTCTGAATAACTGTTAGGCTAAATTATAAGTTTTCAAAAACCACAATTACAATCCATTTCAATCTTCTTCAAGTTTGTCCATCTGTACCTCCTTTTGTGTTTGCCGTCTCATTTATACGTTAGCGCAGTTCCCACTGTCTGACTTTTACAGCGAAATTCTGTGTGTGTTTTGCAAATTTTAGGTTTTCTGTCCCATCAATCATCTTAGCAGACCTCTTTGGAAACATATGTTTACTTGAACGAGTTCAAAAGGTCATGGTTTGTGATTCGTGAGTGGTGAATTTCAAACCGTTTTGTTTGTTTCGCGTTTCAAGGTTCGTTGCTTTGTGATTGTCCTATTTCGGGCCCAATAATCGACTAGTTAAGTTTGCTCTGCAGATTTTTTTTTATCTTTTTATCACTTTTTAAGTGATGTTCCATTATTTGTTCCTGGAAAAATGTTCAAATAGTCTTTGTATCTTTTAGCTCTGTTGAAGGGACTCCTCTATTCAGGGGAAAAGAAACCTCCATACAATGCTTGCCTCCTTCTTTTGACAAAAAATCCACTCACCATCGCAATTTCCTGTTCTCAGCTGAGCTGGGCGAGCACATTACATTGTGATTTGCATTAACCCCACCTTCACAAAAACGGTTGACAGAACAGATAAACCCAAAATCCCTTCGAAGTTTGCAATACGCACAGCGCAATACAAAGAATTTCGCTGTAATCAATTTTGTGACACAGCCCCTTTAAATGCTGGGGGCATTTGATTGAGGAAATAAGGTATTTTTATTGTATGTATAGTGGATTAGATTATTTATGCTGAAACACTATTCCCTTTTTGAAACATCACAGTTTAGATCCTGATTTTCAATGGTGCAGTAAATATCTTCAGTAACCACAGTAATGCAATGTGTTTAACTATATATCTAATTCTCTCCTAGAGTGGTCCAAGGGACAAATTTGTCTCGCTCCTTATAGCGGTGATAATGAATACTATGAAGCAGTAATCAATTCTTTACACAAAGCTTCCAGTGGGCTGAGAATGGCTGTTGTAACTTTTATTGGGCAAGTTTAACATTATTTTTTATTCATTCATCAACTACTAGTTAACCTAAAGGGTATGTTATGAGGTGATTCGCAGACGACAGACACAGAGGTAAAAAAATCACTGGGTGGCATAAAAAATGTTTGCAGTTTTCTTAGGCTAATCAACTACAAGTTTGTGCTTAAATTAATAAGATTTTAAAAAGCAATATTTTTCTTGGTATTTTTGATAGGTGACCACCTATTTGAAGTGATCCCTTATCACATCAGGGGCGGATCTACGGGGAGGGTGCAGGGGGTGCGCCCCCCCCTCCCTGAGATGACTTGCGGTTTTCTAATACAACTGGTATTCTGCGAAAAAAAAAACTATGTGGTTTATTGGTGTTGAAGTAGAGCAAGAGACGAGTGCACCCCCTCCTAAAAAAAATCCTGGATCCGCCCCTGCACATTGAATTGGAGATTTAGTAATTATTTTACTCTCCATGGCACTATCACCATGACATTCAAACTTGGCTGCTCAGATAATGATTTTAGCAATGTGCAGATAAAAAGAAAAAAGACACCGGTGGCAAATTTAATCGGACCCTTATTTCTGTTGCAGCTATGAATCTGAGGGGAGTGAGACAGTTTCTGAGACAGATCTTAAAACAATCAAAGAACGGCCAGGTATTTGAACAATTTTCTTCCTCAATATGGAAAAGTTGTTATAGTTAAAATAACTATACATTTTTTAGACTTCTAACACATTATTTTTTCTTATTCAGGTCTCAAAACAAGCAAGGGGGACACATCATCCAAAAAGAAAAAGAAAGGTGAATTCTCCATTGTGTGCTGAAAGTACTAGTCTTTTTAAATACATGTACTATTGTGACAGCACTTTATTTTTAGTTATTTTGTGATTAATAAGCCCACTTATTACTAAAAGCAATCTCATTGTCACCCTCACCTCAGTATTTCAAAGTTAAAGTTAAAGAGTTACAACTTTTGAAGTTTATCAAGAAACGGTCCAAATCTGCCTCACCACCTCCGTCTGCTACGTAAAGCAAGTATGACCCCACATCCTTGTTTCGACTTTTTTTTCTTTCTTGTGTGGCTTTACGTAGCAGAGGGAGGTGGTGATGCAGATTTGGTCCGTTTCTTCATTTGATAAACTTGAAAAAGTTGTACTCTTTAACTTTAACTTTGAAATACTACATGGGAATTGACCTTGGGACCTCTTGGACAGATCACTGGCTGTGAACCAATCAACTGTACCAGTCCTTTGTAATAAATCCAATAAATCACAAACTCAGGAGAAACATTGTTGCATAACAAAATGTTATAACGGATTGTTTTGGGGATTTATACATTATACATTGCATTACATTATAATAAGATAAAAACATCTTTCCCTCCCTCCTTGTCATACATAAATTATATTCCTGGAGAACAAGAGGTAAACTGAGATATTCTGATGCATTTTTCTTGTTATTTTTGACCCCTAAATAACAATTTCTAAAATCCCCATACTAATATTTCTGTTATGCAAAAACGATTCTCCCTTGAGAACTAGAGGTAACTGTGGCGAGTAGGTTTGTAGCCCTTGGGAGTAACAGTTTTCTTTGCACAAAAAGTACAGAATACTTCTCAATAATTGATTTAATTATTGTAAAAAAAACTGCATTTTGCTGGAAAATAACACTGATCGGTGCCTGTGATCCTGTAACGGCAAAACAGAAGCTAAGTGGTGATTAGAGCTTACAGCGTAAACCAAAATATCCTACCATCATGGCTGATAGTTATTAATAAGTATTTTTCAGAAAATTCTGCAAAGGTGTTAAATCACTCACCCCAGCTATCATAAGATTGAACATATATTCTTTTTATATTTGTGTCAGGAAAACTAGACATCTCTGTTCAATGCAACAAAAAGCTTCCCAGTGGCAGAAGGTCCATAAACAAACAGAGTAGATCAGTACTTCTCCAGGATTTTGATGCCATTCATTCTGAGAAGATTAACACTCTGGTAAATCCAGTAAAAACGGATTTTGATGATGACAGTAAAAAGCAGTCTGACAAACGTGATTGTGATGATGAAATGCTAGCAGATGGTAAGTTTCCTGAGAAACAGGAAGGCGAGCGCACACTAGCGCAGTCCGCTACAGTTTTAATAGTTTAAGGTTATTAATTTCACCAGTTCAGTAACTTTTACTTTGGAGGCTTATAGGTGCTTATCTGAATATCTCCAACAGACCTTGCATCTAGAGGTTCAGATTCAACCCTCTGCTATGATTCTAAAGCACCAAATAATCACTGTCTTTGCTTGAGGTGAACCAAAAAAGGTTTATCAACTTTATAACTCTTTGTGAACAGTACATGTATACAAAAAAATATATATATTATTGGGGTAATGAAAATCGTGCATCATACCGGGGACTTCGTTACTTAGAGGTTCGTTATATCGAGGTTCCACAGTATTAGTCAGGTCTCTTATTGCAAAATATAGGCCGGATCGTTACAGACCTGACAAAAGTGTCAAATTTGGCACAGAGCTTCCTTAGCACCTGCCGATTAATACTGGAGGGGGTGCCCATTACAAATGGTCCTAATTACAGATTAAAGGGGGGGTTAACTTTCACCTGTAATAGCAGATTGGGTTCCCTGTGGCGGTACTCTTCTTGTTTGATTCGGCTAAAAAACATTAGTTTGAAATTTTTAAGTTTTCAAGTTGGTAATGTTTAGTTGTTGTTACACTATTCAAAATAGTTTTACATGTACATAATACTGACTAGTGCCCAGTCTCCACACGGTAAGTGTCGCCATATTCACTGTGCGGCTATCGGTGTCACTGCCAAGACTTGCCAGTGATAATATCATTACATATCAATTTAAACAGATCACAAAGCCAGCCTTCAAAGATGTCATACAATAACATAAAACCCAAATGTACCACATCCTAAACAACAGAATCGTTTAATTTTGACATGCCACATGAACGACCTCATGAACCGTAACTGACAACGCGCCCACTTTGTAATTTTGCAGCTAAGATTAGATTATAATTTGCTTCGTTGGTAACCCTGTCCTTGAGATAATGATTAAAACATGTCAACCTCGTCCTCAGGGGGAAAAGGAGGAGCAAGGATGGCACAGTTAGTGCCGAACTCGATCCCCGGTGTCAACACATCCTTATTTCAACTTCTCTCTTTTCTGTATAGCTTTTGACTAGCTTTAAATACCCTTAAAACGGAGCATTAATGGAGAGAGGGGGGTAAAAGGAGCGCACCGTCGACCTCAAGTTTATCAGTTGTTATTACTGTCAGGAATTATTGCCGTAAAATATGGTCGCTTTACCTTTTTCTACCTTTTTATTAAGCCCTGGGGACGAGGCTGTAAAACATGCCTCTCCAGGCATTTTTAACACTCTTTATTTTTCAGACATTTGCATGTAAAAAGAAGTGTATGAGGTCCCTGCATGCCTAGACACTGTAAGGAGCTCATTCACTTCAGAGCTGTCGCACCAGAGTGTTAATGGTAGGTCTATACCATCTTTCAAAAAAAAAGGAAGGTCGTCGCCTGCGTTACAATTTACAAACAAACTAACTTCAGAAGAGCTGAAAGTTACAGGAACAAGGCCTCTTTTAGCCAACCAATGATGCATCATTTATGAAAATGAGTGTAATTTGTTTATGCAATTAGGCGAATACCCCGTGGTTACGAAATCTTACGATCATGAATTCCTCAAGAGCAATTCAGTTACCAACTTTTCACAAAATAATTCTGTGGAAAATCAGAGGCACCCAACAAGAACATAGTTCAAAAGCACTTAAGCATAGCATTGTTAAACTTGTTTTAGTATTTAAACTGTAGATATAGGCATAATTTTCATCTGTTCGGATTTCCTAGCTGAAAGTCTAGTGATCCGAAAATTATAGGGATCAAAACTTACCTTTTCGAAAATTTCAGCCAGAGAGAAGGCTCCCGAAAATTCTAGGTGACCTCTTTAGGGCAAAAATCCGTTAAAAATGGGCAATTATACCATTTTTTGGATGCTCGAAAATCCTAGGAGACGCAGGCAAGCAAGAAATTTTACAACAAATTTTCCGAAAACTCTAGATCTCAAATCGTCTTCCGAACAGATATTTTCCGAAAATTGACATTGGGTGCCCCTGGAAAATTACAGAAAATACCAAAAAAAGCAAGGGTCAACAATAATTATGGCCTGGTCCCTTATGATAATAGAGTGGTCATGATAAAGAAGCCCATCAGCCCCAACTTTGACCGAACAAACAGATTTCTGACAGATTACATACCGCAAAACTTTGCATTCACTTATGCCTATGTTTCCACACCAGGAGCCTAGAAATCGGCTTTTATTGCTGAATATCACTCTAAAGAGCTTTACGAAATATTTTGTTAGTAGGGGCGTTTTAAACATGATTGAAATTTAGAGATGGTGACAAAACCAAACACAAAAAAAAAGTCACAAAACGAGACGCATGAAACAACCGCAATCTAGTATTCGTGTTACACCGATATAATGGCTCCTTTGGCTGCTGTGCTGACGTTTTTGAAAATGAAAGTAGTATCACAGCTAGACCGTTTATTCCAGGTTTCACGGTTCCTGAGACTTAGCGCCTGTTAACGTAAAGGTGGGGGACCCCAGGTAGGTGAGGTAACCTACTTAGGTGGGGTAAAAAAATAACCCTCCTTTACATGCAATCTTACAACCTCGCCATCCTGGGGTGCACTTTCTCAAGACTATTGAATGGTCGCTAAGCACGTAAACAAGAAAAATGCTGGCAAACCACATCTACGCTCACTTGCTGCTCTTGCTGCAACCTTCAGCGTTATGGCTTTCTATTGTTACCTTTAATAATTATGTGAAGCCACCCGGCGCCAAAGTGAATTTTGTGCGAATTTGATGTATCACGAATCTGACCCCGACTAGCCAGGGTTACCTCACCTTGAAACGTTGACATGGCAAAATTTGACTTCAGCTGAGAGGGTTACCCGATGTGGCAGACCGGGCTACCCACCTTGAGGGGTCACCTCACCTATCATCTAAACGTGATCAAACTAAAATGAGAGAATATATGGACAGGCGGGTTACCCCACCTAAGTGGGTTACCATGCCTACCTGGGGTCCACCTCCTCCATGTAAACAGGCCCTAAAAGTTAGCCTGTCCCCCTTTCTACAGTTTCAGCAGTTAAACCATTCACCATTTATCATTTGAGTCAATCTTGTACCACTCGAGTCTCACTTTTACGACTTGATAAGCTGTTATTATTTTTGGACATGAGTGCTTCAGTACCAAATGTAGAGGCTTCATGATAAACTGTGCTGTTTTTTGAAGCTTGGGCTAACTTGTTTATTTTTTCATTTATGAGACCAGATTCTTTTTTGTTTGTTTTTGCTTTGTAACTGCGGGAATTGTAAATGATATAACTTGTACCACGATGCTTGCTTCTGTGTCAAAACATGCACGTGCTTCCAGCAGATAAAGAGAGACTGAAAGGCATCCAGGCCTATGTTGAGCTGAAAGATTAATTACCTCCCTAGGAAAGAACTATTTTGGGTTCTGTTATTCCGTTATTTGGTCTTCATGAACAGGTGTCATAAATCCTTGATAATATGTGATACAACAGACTCTTTGACAATTTCTTTTTTCTGAAATTTTGTGTGTGAATTGCTATACCATATCCTTTCTTTGGCTTAAGGTGACATGTAACGACAAGTAATACTTGATAAATAAGGCTTAAGCCACACAATAAGGCCTCCTCTAATTGAAATACATTAGAATAGGAGAAGAGAACCCCAGAAGCTTAGTACTTGCAAGTTATGAAGCAAAGACGAGGCCATCTTAGAAATGACTCATGAAAATGTGGGCGGACTGTGGACTTGCTTTAAGGGCACAGTAATAATCAACTTAATTATACAATCAATAAGCTAATAATGGATGGGAATGCCAGATGTTCGAGTGAAATTGTTGTTTTCAACATGAGAAGAGCATTCTCAGTGATTTAAGGTATTAAATAACAATTTTCAATCAAAACACCACAGGGACCCCAGCAGGTGAAGTTTACAATAATTAAATCATGTTTTGCACGCTTCAGTGGCATATTTGCATTGGGCACCCCCTCCAATATTCATGGTACTGCAATAAGCTATCGCTGTGCAAAGTTTGGTGCTTTTGTCAGCTCTGTAACGATCCTGACCTTAAGAGACCTGACTATATGTAACAGTAACGCAATATTTTCTAATCCTCCGTCAAGAAGAGAAAGGTCATCTGTTATTTAAAATTTTTGTTGTGTCTGTCATTTTCAATTTTCTCATGTCTTAGTAATTAATTTTTCGGGCAACAAGAGGAGCCCGCAATCTTTATCTCCAGGTTCCTATTACGCATGCGTTGCATGTACAACTTCAACTGCCCTTCCATTAGGAACGAAAGGACTATCCACTGTACGCAATCTGATAACGTGCGTGTAAAAGTTTGGAGCTTCTGATCACGCTTGTTTTGACCATCTATCTCGTAAAGTCCGTAAGACTTACGCAAAGCACAGCGTTGGAGGAAGAACGTTTCAATCTTCGATCGTTGTCTTCCGCACTCCGTAACCTTCGATTATTACTTGTTTATTTATATATTTCTTTGTTTTCTCACTCAGTAAAGCACCGATCTTGTAGCCTGCGAAAACAGCCGTTTCTCCGCGCGAAACGTCCCCAGCGGCGTAGAGCGAGGAGAAACGGCTGTTTCCGAAGGCAACCGACCTTCAGAATTGAAGGTCGCTGGCTCAATCCTATGCGCGAACCAACACTCGGGGTCTTGAAATTACCAACTGATGAAGAAGTACTGCTTGTACCTTGAAAACGGGTCACATCCATGGTTCGGATAATTATGGAACAAAGGTGGTCTCATCTCCTGCAACGGACATTTAATGCTAATTACATTCATTTGACACTTAAACAGGCACTTAAATAGACCTTTTTATTTTTTTTAACTCAGGTTTTGATGATCAAGACATGGAGAGACCCTTTTTCACAGTGCCAGCGCCTCATCCTACAGTTCCTTTACTTCTATCAGAACCTGGAATTGAATCAGTAACACAGGTTAGAAATAACTGCGTGTTATTTGTTTGCTTTGTATGCTCTCCGTTTTCCAATGAAAAGAAAATGCGAGCCAGAAACATGGCATAAATATACAATGGGAGAGTTTTAGAGCAGGCAAAGTGTACCAATATACATTACAATGCAAACGTCAAAGGGTTAAGGCGCGGAGGGGGGGAATCCCTTATTGGCCTAAACGGGTATATGCCGCTTAACAGGGTCTGGTTGAGAGAAGAGAAGAGAGTATGTTGGTTTGAAAAATTACGCCCTCCCCCTGCCCGCCCTTGGGTTGGGGGGCTGTCGTGGGTTTGTAACAAATTCCTTAATTTAATGAAAGATATTAATCATCGTGGATGATGTGTATAAAGGGTTTAGTTTATCGTTTGTCTCACGATTGTCACTTTGATATTAATTGCCACGTTTCAACAGCACAGTACAGGTCTTCATTGGGCGGTAGTGTCGATTTACTGAGTCTGACTATTTGTACCACCGTGGTTGTCAGTGATTGGTGTATCACGACCCTCGCTCATGGTTGGTTGGGTTTCGATCCAAAGCATTGTTGGTATTATCAGAGGAGGAAACTAATCCCTCAGCGGTCCGTTGTGGTAGCGTTCGGCTGTCATGTTGTCTGATTGTAGGCATCCTTGCTTCAGGAATCTCAATTCCACTGTCCCTGTTGATGTTGTTAGGTTGACGTCTTATGTGAATAGCCCCATTAACTCTACGAGAGTATTAGTGAGGGTCTCGGTCAATGAACCTAACTTCGTCCCAGAGGGGATAATGCCCGGTCTTAATGGCGTGTTCAGAAACGGCCGAAGTTTCCATTAATGACCGTTTACCTAGGAACTAGTCATCAAGTATTTGGTAATCAGCAACGAAGTTGCCCTTTGCGTGATTGTTTAAAACTCTTTTTTCTGTAGATTCCAGCCACCATTAACCGTTATTTGAGGGATTATCAACGTCAAGGAGTGCAGTTTTTGTTCCGTCACTTTTCAGAAAATACTGGAGCAATTCTTGGTGATGACATGGGCTTAGGAAAGACTGTTCAGGTTTGGAAATGAAATGTTACGTTTTTTCTCGTTCTACAAAGTCTTGCTTGATTTTGGTTTCCAACATGCGGTTACAAACAAAATTAGAGATAATTGAAAGAAAACGTCACAAGTACCTGTAACATTTTTGTACGATTTGAGGCATAATCTTCAGATCTTTCTTTTTTATCGGACTTCATAGAATAGGGTGTAAACTTGGTAATTTAACATACAGACTGTACATGTAGGTATCAATATTCCTAGTTACGGCTTTTAAGTTGTTTGGCCGCTTTGCTTGGTTCAAACGTCGAACTTTTCACGTACCGAACTTAATACCTTTTCGGTTCGACCCAAATGATATAAGTTGGACGGTTAATTCAGACTTCAAACTTAATTAGTAGGTCTCAATTCATTTTCACGATGTGCCATGGTCTACAATGCATGTTTACCAGTGAAAATGAATTGTAGTAATTTATGCATTAGGTTTGAAACGAGGTTGCTCCACAGTCGAAATTCTCATTTAAGCAACTCGAACATACTTCGTGGGTCGACCCAAATTGATTCAACGTCGTTCTTTTTATGTACTTGTTTTTTATCGAAGGGATTAGGTTCGGTGCATGAAAAGTTCGAACTTTGAACTGAGCCTTAGTTGTAATTCCATAACAACAGGGCGTAGGCTTTCAATGTAAGTTCAAAAGAATCTCTGTACAAACGATCTGTAAACCTGATAATTCCCTTCAGAAGATATCCCGGGGAATCCCGGAGCGTTATTAGTCTGCAAAACAGTCGGGTTTTTTTTCTTAAAATCAGTTTAGAGTAGTTTTCAGCTTTTGTTTGACTGTTCGTGCCTACTTGAATACGCAAAAATACGGACTGTTTTGCAGTCTACAGCGTTATACGTTTCTGGGAAACTGTCCCCCTACCCCTTCCCGAAGCCAACGTTAACACTTACTTAGGGAAAAATGTTGGCTTAAGGGAGGGGTAGGTGGGCAGTTTCCCAGACACTTATAGGGATCCGTCATCCCTATGAAGCCCAGCAACACAGCACATTGAGCAGAGGCCCAAGGTCCGAGCCCCATAAGGGATATTGCTTTGCTTGATTCTTTATCTTAGCTATTTGAGAGAAGAATACAGGAATAGGTTCCTGTTCTAGTCACATGGACTCGCTCGAATACCCATTAAAAGCACGATAGAGTACAGCCATATGTCTATGCGCATTTGTTTCAGGTCATTGCATTTGTTGCTGCTATTCTGAGGAAAACAGGGACAAAGGCTGATGTATTCTCCAAATTTGTGAATGGCAGAACGAAAGGAAAACAGGTTGTTGAATTAACCGTGTTTTTTTCCGGGCACTTACAAGGAACTTTTGATTCGACTGGGAGGGCAGGAGTACGGGATTTCAAACCAAATTCGTGCACCCCATATAATTACTTGTCCACCCAATCTTATCCCTAGGGAATATTTATGTGCTTGTTACCAACAGGGAAGAGTTATAGTTCAGGGCCGAGTTGTTCAAAGCTGGGTTAAGATAACCCAGGGTTAGTGCGAGATTTGAATTCAGATTTGAAAGCTTAAAAGGCATTTCAGTTTTAATTCTTTTTGTCTACAAGGAATTGAGGCTTAAAAATAACAGTTATCCGAGGTGTTTTCAACACAAGAAAAAGAAACCTAATAATCGGCCTTCAAACTGCTCGTAGTCGATTTCGTAGTCGATTTCGTAAGCCTAGTCAGATCTTAAGTTCCGTTTTTTTCCGTTTCCGTTTACACTGCCATATACATTTAAGTCAAGTAAAGCTCGTAGTTACAAATAATAGTCTGTTTAGGGAGTTGGAAGGTGAAGGTCCGTAGAGTAAACAGGACTTTCGAGAAATGGTCCCAGGACTGAAGGTCTTAACGTTCCATAATATTTTTCCTCAGAAAAGACAACTAAAATTAAATTTTAATTCGAGTTTCTCTTACTTTTGTTCAAAAGTATTTTCTCGGATAATTTTCTTCAGAGCATCCTATCATCAATTTCTAGATGAAAAGAATTAGACTACAATTACTCCTATAACTTTCATTTCTAAGTTTTAATTTCCCACCAACCGTGGGTTATCTAAACCCTGCTTTGATCAACTCCCGCCTGATTTGTAAATGACGATGGCAATACTCTGCCCGGGGTTAATTCTGTAGTTGACTGGCATCCCATCTAGTGGAGTAGGGGTGCATAATAGAGAGCTTTAGATTCTAAGACGAGGTCGACTACGAGTGCGAGATCGTTTCTCAATATTAAATAGTGCGTACACCGTGAACCAGCGTCATTTTGGCGGGAAAACGTGATAGCCGTCCTCATTCTACTACGCCTGTTTTATCCAAAACGTTGTACTGATGGAAACAAGTTATCGAATGTTAGAAGTGTTTTCATTTCACGATCGCCAGAATGAGGGCTTAACCTCCTTCCATAAAAATAACCGTGTCAACTTTTCTGGTTAAAAAAAGGTGAATTGAAACTTTCCAGGGTGTCTATTTTTCAGGAAAAAATTTAAGTCAAAATCTCATTCTCGTAGTCGTACTCTTCCTCGAATTTAAAGGTCTTTTATAATACTACAGAAAAAATTCACCGGCCATGAGGAGGACGTTGCCCAAAGTGCGCCTTTTTGAGGAATCGATATATATATACAGCTATTTCGAGAAAGGTTGTCGGAAAAATTGTGCACGCGACAATCTCGAAAGGTAATATGGGTATGATAAATACACTGTTCCTGACACTGTAGCTGCTGTTGCTGCTTTCCTTTAGCACTCGGAACATATGTCCATGGCTTCTCGTGCCATTCTTTCTTTGAAGAACAGTGACTCAAAACCATCCACAATATTTTCCGGATTGTCGCGTGCACTTTTTCTGACAACCTTTCTCGAAACAGACAGCTGTATTTCTGCGACTACAGTTTATAAACTTCAAGATTATAAACTGTTTTTTTTTTTCTCTCGTTTGTTTTAGAAACATGTTAGCGGATTTGAGAGAGGGACTTTCCTAATTGTTAGCCCAGGTTCTGTGATGTACAACTGGAAAGAAGAACTGGAGACTTGGGGACATTTCAACACGGGGCTCTTTCATGGTAATACCAAAGAGGACACTCTTCAGAGGGCCCAGAGAGGGCGACTAGATGTGGTGCTAACTACCTATGAAACCATGAGAAATCACTTGGTGAGTATTGCAATGCCACAAACGCTGAAGTTGTGACTCCAGAGGCATGGTTTCTCAGGAGGGGGTGGGGATAGTTTTGGAGGCAGTAACAGTTTAAAAGCCTACTTCGGTGAAGGAGGACCTTTGTGCCCTCTCGTCGGCACGATCTGGCCTTATTGTATTCTTGTAGTTTTGAAGAAACTTTTCAAACGGGAGCACGAAAATTATTTTTCTCTGACACATTACTTAGTACGTAGGCAAAAGTTTAAGCGGATATCTTTATCCAAGAGAGATTTCTGACATATGTGGCTATATTTTTGCTTTTTTAGGATGATTTGAACAAGATTAAATGGCTAGCGGTAATATTAGATGAAGTTCATCGCTTGAAAGATCCCAAAGCTCAAATAACTAAGGCTGCTAAAGCTCTTAAAGCTAAGAGAAGGTAAAATGTCCCAAGCTAGTAGGTCTATTCGAGGCAAACCTCTTTTAAACGGCCAGTTACCAGACTTCCAGCGGCGCAGAAAGTTCCATAGACTAACGAATCTCACATAAAACACCCTGTTTGCCTTCCAAATTTTGTATAAGTTATTAGCTGTGGTCACACTACAGACTTTTACCTAGGTAAAAGCAATTTACCTAGGGTAAATTCATCAAAAATCTCCCGAGGTCACACTACTGATATCGGCTCCCAAGGTTTTCACGCCAGTTGAAATTCTTGGAGCGTAAATTTAAGAAGGCAAGATCCGCAGGGATCTAGTTAATCAAAGAGACGTTTTTTTTCTTTTATCTCGCTGTTATTTCTTACGCTAATTCAACGTTCAAGGTGAAGAAAGCCGAAGACGTAGACGACTAGTGCCCCCAAAATTTCTTTCACAGCGTGAGCTATGTCCGGTTCTGTCATCAAGACCTTCGCCGATGAGCGTCGATTGGCTAGCAACCTCGGTATTTCATTTTTCCTTAGCTATCGCTTTGGGGTAGCTGTCAAGGGAAACTCTTTTGTTATCGAGACATATTCAAGACCCAGACGATAAAATTTCCCCAAGGTAAGTTACCTAGGGAAAAATCGGTCACACTTTAAAAATCACGTTTCCCTAGGTAAACTGTCAACAAGTCGAATTTACCTAGGTAAAAAGTCTGTAGTGTGACCACAGCTATTGTTTTCAAATGCGGATTTTGCTCGCTTAAAATGTCAGCTTACGCGAACGAAAATGGACACACAGCGTGTTTGTAAAGACTTTCCAAGTTTCAGCCGACGAGGAAATGGATAAATAAAGTAAACTTGTCGAGTTCTAGACTCAAAATCTTTTTCAAATTCGTGCTTGTGTGATCAGCGCGCGAAAACCAAAACATATTGACGTCACAGCCATGTGTACATACTCTCTAACACGCCTCTTAGCCAATCGAAGCGCGCATACTACCTTAGTTATTTTATAAGAGAGGTTAGCAGACACTTCCCTGGCTTGTATCGGTATATTGTTACCAGTATTAGCCTGAGAAAACAGCCGCCATTTCGCGACGCCACCACTGGTTTCCCCGCGAAATAACGTCTGAGAAACGAGGGCAGAAATTCCATACTGATGACGTGTCACTAACCAGATCTGATTGGCTTCTGATTGGTCGTGTATCATGGGAATCTGCTTTAACCAATCAGTAACACTACCCAGATCTGGTTAGTGACGCGTCATCAGTATAGAATTTCTGCGCTCATTTCTCAGACGTTATTTCGAAAGGAAAGGCCGGTGGCGTCGTGAAATGTCGTTTGTTTTCTCTAGCTATACAAGTATCAACCTAATTTGGCCTATCTTCATGCAGGTATGGCCTCACAGGAACTCCACTCCAGAATAGGATGAGAGAATTCTGGTGCGTGTTAGACTGGGCTAATCCAGGCAGTCTCGGAAAAGCTAAACAGTTTGAATTGGAATATGATGTACCAATCAGAAAGGGGCAAACGTATAATGCCACCAAGAGAGAATTGGCCCTGGGAAGAAAAAGTGAGTAAAAACACTTAAAATAAAGCTCTTTTCGGTGAAATATCACGGTGTTAACTGTTCCTTGCCTAGTCCTTAGACCTTATTATTCCGCGCCGACCACGCGGCCAGAGCGTCTCGGGTCACGTGGTCCAAGCGTCTGGGATAGGTCACCGTGGTGAATTGACCGAGAAGGCCTGAGAAAACGCCGTCAAAAGCTGTTCCTAGGTGCTCTGCTCGAAGCATGCAGATGCCCAGACTGCTCCATTCAAATGTCACGGTTATGTTTTCCAAAATGTCAAATGTACTGTTTGTATGTCTGTTGGGAGGGGGGGGGAAGGGGACGGGGACCCGTTTTTGTTTGTTTGTTTGTTTCTTTTTTGGATTCCACGAAGAGCAACCGACTGTTTGTAAACGGTTTCCGTTATTTTTGTTTCATCCATTTCATTCATTTATTTTGCCATTACCACGTAAAACACACTTACATTTCACGATGAATTTAAAAAAAATCTTAACGATTTTAGACTCTAAGTAATTTATGTGACAAATGTTCAAGATGGCAATTGCAAGGAAGCTTATATAAAACCCGTGGGCTTATGAACTAGCAAGCTAACAATAAATGACTGAAAAGGCCCAAAGTAACCTTTCTTATTTTTACATAGCGGAGTCCTAATGTTTTACGTGGTAAAAACTTTATGTTCGCAGAATCGAAGAAGCTCCAAGACAAAATTGGAAAAGTCTTCCTCAGAAGGACGAAAGACTTGATAGCAGATCAACTACCGAGGAAAGGTAACGCTGTTAATGTAAACTGAGGTTCAATTCAAATGAAACTGCGTATTCTAACGAAGAGCTAGAGCCGGAAAGTTTAAATTTTTTGCGGTTTACCAATTTGATTAATCAGCTCAGTCACAACCTTAACAAAACAACGGACTTGTAATGTTTAAACCGGCTTTTCTCGTTTTTGTATTAAACCTGTTTACACCTTGCTTTTTCAGATGAACTGGTAGTGTTCTGTCCCTTAACCCCATTCCAAGAAGATGTCTATCAGACTCTCCTTCAAAACCCCGACGTTGAACTGATCCGAAAAAAGAACTTTCCCTGTGACTGTGGCAGCGGGATGGACAGGGGCAAGTGTTGTTACATAGTAAGTAACACATGGGTGAACAGGAAACGTAATATTATTGAATAATAAGTCATGCAGTGGGGTGATCAGAAGCAGACGTTGTTACGTGGTAATTGGGGTAGAGAGTAGGCTTGAAAGTATACTGCGACACGAGGGAGCTTAAGCAACAACGACGGCGACGGCTACGAAAACATCACAAGTGAATTCGCGCAAGTAATTCAGATGGGGGGCGTCTATTAGACAGGGGGCGTTTATTAGAAAATGGCGTCTAATACAATTTTAGCCGCGCAAAGGGGTCGTTTATAAGGTCATTTACGGTTATGGGGATGATAAACCCTAGCTTGGTTCCACATAGCATATTCGAATTTAGACGCTTCGGGGTTATATGATTCTTATTCAAGGCCTAGTCATGGCCTAGCGATTACACCGTAAGGTTTAGAAGATGGTGAATTAACCAATAAACTCGCTGTTTCAATAGAGAATATTTAGCGGGCGGAAAGAAAAACAAGCGTAAGTGTTCGAAATGAGGTTGATTCTTTGAGTCGACATAGCAGCTTTATAGAGATGATTGGTTGGTTTATTCTGACACACCCAGCACATGAAAGTATTGTATCCCCGTTTTTTTTTTTTTTTTTTTTTTTTTTTTCTGGCAGTGCGGCAGTGCGAACCCAAAACTGAAGATCTTGCGTCAATCAAACGGACATTCGTACTAGTCAACGTACTTGACTTTTTGCAGTTTCCCCAAAACGTGCCATTCAGGATACGACTCAGTTACAACTAAAACTGGCCAAGGTCATCACGAGTTTTTTACACGAGTTTCTCCGTAGGTTTAAGCTCCACTATTGGTGGTTCAATTCCTTTCAGGGTTTTTTCTTTGTCCTTATAACATGATGAATATCCCCTTCTCTTATTTCGGGAGTTTTGATTGGTTAAACAGTGAAAGGTGCGTTGTGCCATATGGATGCAATGTTGCAGAAATAGGAGATTTTAATGCTTCCGCGCGCAGTAAATTTTAGGCATGGGCACGATGCAATTTAGCCATTACGCATGATATTGCACGAAATATTCTACAGGCTCTGAATTTGAAGTTTTCTGACACAAGTAATTTTGTGTATTGCTAGATACTTTTCCAGTTTTCTGTGGGTATTTTTTTGTTTGTTTGTAAAGGACTCTAAAGTTGTTTACAATTTAGATCAACTTAGGTTCCTGAAAAACGGCCCACCTACCCTTCCCTTAAGCTAACATTAAGCCTTACTTCTCACTTAAGGCAAAATGTTGGCTTAGGGGAGGGGTATTTGGGCAGTTTCTCAGAAGCCTCAATTTTTTCTGTATCTATTGTCTTACAAACAGCTCAGTTCAGAGGGCGAGAATATCAAGACTACAACTATGCGATTTTTTCAGCTGTTGCTTAAGGTGGCCAATCATGCAGCGTTATTGGCGCCCACGGTCAGACAAACACTAGACCAGCAGGAAAAGGTAGGGCGGCGCCGGCGAACACTCAGCGGTAAAAATGATGAATACAGTCGAACCTCCACTAACCGCCACCTCTCCACAACGGCCACTTTTTTTGGTGGACAGTCCATACATTGACTCTTGTTTCAACGTCTCTACAATGGTTACTTTCTTCTGTCCCCAAGGTGGCCGTTGTAGAGATGTTCAACTGTATTAGAGAGCTTTAGATTCGAGGACGAGGACGACTAGGAGTACGACATTTTCTCAATACTGAGTATTGCTCACGCGTGAACCAGCGTCATATTGGCGGGAAAATGTGATAGCCGTCGTCATTCTGCTACGAGTTTTAGCGAGAATGTCGTAGTGGCGGGAACAAGTTATCAAATGTGAGAAGTTTTTTCATTTTGCTATAGGGAGAGGGCGTAATAAATCTCGTACTCGTTCTCCTCCTCAAATCTAAAGCTCTCTAATAAAGCAGGCAGGGCTGTATCAAAACAACCTCAACTCCAAGCTGTTTTCACCAGTAACTGTAAAATGGGCTATTGGTATTGAGTTTCAAGGGAGTGGGCACTCGAAAGGCAACTGTAAATTGAAACTACAGTTTGTTTTCAATTACTGACCTTTGCGCGCCGGAATTCATAAATTTGGTTCTATGAACTTAGTTGACAAGGGACTTTCCGTGCAATCTCAGAGAGCTTCGCAAGAAGACAGTTTGAGCGTCAGTACGAAACGAATCTAAGATTCAGTTTTAATGTAGGGATAGCGCGCAAAACTTCAACTTCTGAATCACTATAGCAGAGCTTGAAAAAAACTTCAATCAAGGGAATCTGCGCACCTATCCCTCCCATATTAAATCCAACATTTGCCTTAAGTGAGAAGTAAATGTTAATGTTGGCTTAGGGAAGGGGTAGGTGGGCAGTTTCCCAGAAACGGGACCATTGCTTTCTTATCCTAGTTAATGATATAGGTAGAAGATGACCCGCCTGGACCCATGCCAATTGGACATGTGAGCTTTAAAAGTTACTCGCCCAGGAAGAAAATGTACTAGTCCTGGATGACTGGACGGGACTTTTTGCGAGCCCTGTTTAGGGTGGTTGTTCTGTCACGCGTTTCTTTTCTCATGTCACGCTTTCTTTGTTATGTAACATAGCTTAGACGTGTTTCGTCATAGGTTCACGTGATAGCTAACTTTGTTTGCTTTTCTGCCTTTTTGTTATATTGTGCTCGCCGGTGAAAACGCTTTCTCGTTGCACGTTAAAGTTTTTCTTTCATTAAAACTGGTTGCCCTTCTGAAGAAGGACCTACGGCTCATGATTTTCCCCGGAAAATGGATCAAGGTTGAGGGATTAGAATAGTGGTCAATTTACCTTATCAATAACCATGACCCTATTAATGTAATCCTTTTGCCAAATCTGCTTTTTTGCGCTGATTTTCTACCCTCTCTAAATTCAGCACTCTGTTATCCACGCTATTATGCAAGTACATGGAGATCCCCTCTTTTTGTTTTCAGGCCAAAGAACTTTGTTTGCGCGTCTTTGCCAGGTATACAGAGTTTTCAGGTTGTACAGAACTCTCTTCATTTGAACTCATGTCTGACCCGAAGTATTGCGGCAAAATGAAAGTGCTGGATAAACTGTTGGGAATATTTAGAACCGAACACAGCAAAGTTTTACTGTTTTCACGGTCTACGCAGGTGAGAATTGTACTTACAGCTGTAAAATATACAGTCATGGAGACCTTAGGTTAATAAAGTGCAATGCCGGTTATGAAGCTCGCCTTTGTTTTGTTAGCTTTTTTGAGCTTGACCATGCACACAGTCCAATAGCAAAAACGAGCAAGGACGGAAAATTGTAGGCCATGTTCACTGTTTCGTACAAGATTCCAAAGATTCCTCAACGTCCCGTTCTGGAAAAGGCTAGAAAAGCCTTGGGGACAAAGATTCCGCAAAGATTCGATTCGTTATCGATTATACCTCTTTGAAATTGAAGAAAACTTAGTAGACTTGCATTTTGTCAAGTTCCTGACCATACACTTTAAAATCAATTTATCAGATGACACGCTGTCATTTAATACAATATATGTTTCTTTCCAGCTTCTTGACATCTTAGAGGAGTTTGTGATCAGTAAAGGAATGGTGTACAGTCGTTTGGACGGATCGACCAAGGCTGCTGACAGAACTCGTCTGGTGAGAGAATTCAATCTCGATCCCAGCATTTCCCTGTGTTTAGTATCGACTAAGGCAGGAGGACTGGGGCTTAACTTCACTGGAGCAAATGTTGTGATCATATTTGACCCAAACTGGAATCCCTCCAGTGATTTACAAGCGCAGGACAGGTTAGTAAAAGGGACGAACACGCATGGCTTACTAACACTGAGCCTGCGTAGTTGGCCGGCATGATAGACATGATAGACATTAGGAAGCTTAAGCAAAGACATTGTTGGATTTCGTATTTGAAATAAATAGCGAAATCCAAAAACGGCCGGGTTTTAACGCCGAAAAATCCGTCCTTTGATTTCTGGCTTTCTTTCCTTTTTTGGGGGGGGAAATCCAGAAAAAGATTCGAAAACTGTTCTCAGGAACAGCGGTTTTGCACGCGCGCAAAGAAAAAAGCCACTGTTTATGAGAACAGTTTTGCAAATCTTTTTAAGGATTTCCCCATAAAACTGTTAAGAAGGAAATCCATGAAATCCGATTTGACTTGTTTGAGTGAAATGCACCTTATGTTAGCTTGAGGACAGATTTTTCGCCCTTGAAATACGTTTTTGGATTTTGTGTTTGGTTGTCTGGTAAAACCCGAAATCCGGGTTCAAAATCTGAATCAATCCAGTCCAGATTTCGCAATCAAACGCACCCATAGTTGATTTTACGACGTATAGGTAACTTTGTCAGTCGTTTTACTTTTAATATTTTATTTTTAATCTTTTTTTGTTCTTTTTTTACATTGCAGGGCATACCGCATTGGTCAAAGGCGAGATGTTCGAGTATATCGCTTGATATCGTCCGGAACAATTGAGGAAATGATTTACCTAAGACAAGTGTATAAGCAGGTAAAATCCTGGTGCTTCTACTAAACAATATATTCTAAGCGGTGTTTTATGGGGCGTCGATAAAACCCGGAACATGGAACATTCCGGAACATTCCGGAACATGAAAAAATTCAAATTTTTTTTATGAAAAAATAATTAATTAATTAAATAATAATAGTAATAATAATAATAATAATAACAATAATAAATAATAAAAAGAACAATAGATAGAAAACAATTTTTGCAAAAATTTATAATAACAAAATAAATAACATGACATAACATAAAAACGAAAAATAAAGAAACAAACAAACAAAGAAAGAAAAAGAAACTGGTATCATCTCCGAGTATGAAAAACAATATTTTGTCGCAATGAATTTTTTGGGCGAGTGAGGGTCCATTCAAATGACAGTAATGAGTGAAGGCTTGCTTCTAAATTCAAAATATATTAAAATGGGTCGCGGGGAGGGGGTTTTCAAGCTTTCCTCACACAGCCACCTCTTGTAAATGTTTGCCATGCAGTTTAACGGTTATCCATTTACGGCTTTGCGACCGTAAGAAGAGCTTAGGGGCTCGTCGCTTTGGACTTGGATAATTAAATTAAAGATTCACGTTGGAGTGGCAGTGGTAGCGCAGCGGTAGTTTCTAACTGTTATCAGTTAGCCTGAATTTTAGCCGTCTCCCCGCAAACTCCTCTTGCGACTTGACGAGACGTCTGAAATATCATGCTGACTGTAAACAGTATAGAAACTACTACGAATGTGAGTATTGTCCACTAAAATCCAAAGACAGGAGCCCCTATACTCTTCTTAAGTTCACAGAGCCGCCTAGTCTGTAAGTAATTCATGTCAACCTCAAGTGAAGCAAAGCACCCCAAGTAAGCAAATGTCGGTTAATATATATAAGGAGACCATATGTCCGCTTGAAATGAGCTACTCACCGACTTGGATTGACATGAAATACTGCACCGACATTTCATACCATTGCAGAACCGTAAATGGTTAACCGCCAAATGATTAACTTATGGCAAACAATTACAAGAGGTGGCTGTGTGAGGAAAGCTTGAAAACCCCCCTCCTCTCGACCCATTTTAATATATTTTGAATTTAGAAGCAAGCCTCCACTCATTACTGTCATTTCCATGAACTCTCACTCGTCCAACAAATTTTAATTTGTTACGACAAAATATTGTTTTCTCATACTCAGAGAGGATACCAGTTTCTTTTTCTTGATTATTTCATTATTTTTCGTTTTTTTTGTTATTTTAGGTTATTATTAATTTTTACAAAAATTATTTTATTATTATTATTTTATTATTTTTTTTTCATGAGAATTATTTTTATTTTTTCATGTTCCGGGATGTTCCGGAATGTTCCGGTATGTTCCAGAATGTTCCGGAATGTTCCGTGTTCCGGGTTTTATCGACGGCCTGTTTTATGGGGACAACCGCGATTGTGACGACCATGAGTATGAGCAAGTTCATAAGATGAAATTTTCTCGTTTAATTGCGAAAAATTGATAAGATTTCGTCCACTAGGAACAGGGTTCATACGCTTCTTGAAAACTCTTAAATTATAGAGTCCTTTTTCAAGGCCCTGATAGTCCTTGAAATCTCCTTCATTTATTTTAGCAACGACGACGGCGACGGCTACAAAAACGTCACTTAAAAAGTCAATTCGCGCTGCCTCAAACTTTATCGCGCTTATTCCATCACGTCTTATCGGCAAATTTATTTGGAGTTGCAATTGAATTCTAAAGTATTGTATCAAAGTTCAGGAAAAGTTCCCGTCCTCGAGAGAACGTGAAATTAGGCACTTTCACGTTGTAGTCGTGCAAAGACGGTTAAGAAGTGTACAAAAAAAGCGCGATGCACGTGCAAAGTTGTTGTTTTGCCAATCTAAACCTAGTGCATTTTTGCCGTTCTCGTTGCCTTCTCTGTCGTCGTTGCTTAAGCTCCGTAATAAGTTCATGAGGGACCAGACACTCCTTGTGGTCAAACTCTTTAGTATGAGACACCTGGCTAAGGGCTCGAGAGAAGTCTCGTCCGTTAGTCCTGGAAAAGTAGACTTTTCTTGCTCACCTGCCCAATGGACAACGTTCCAAGCAAGTCATCCTCTAACAAAATCATTAACTACGGGCTTGTTTACATGGAGTGGGGGACCCCGGTCTAGTGGGGTTGGTTTCTTTTGTTTTCACGCTCTGGAGGACACAAAACAAAAGAAACCTACCCCACTAGACCGGGGTCCCCCACTCCATGTAAACAGGGTCTAAGGCGAGCAAGAAGTGACCCCAAGCTGGAATTCAATTTTTTTTTCCGAGCCTTGCTGGCGTAAACAAATTGTTTGTTTTATTGTTGTTTTTTATAGCAACTGGCCAACATCGCCATAAAGGGGACAAACGAGAGAAGATATTTCACTGGAGTGGAAGGCGATAAGGACAGGCATGGCGAGCTCTTTGGGTTGGAAAATTTGTTTTCGTACCGTGCTGAAGGAGCTAGCTTGTCCAAAGACATTGTCAAAAGAACAGAGAAGCTGGAGGCGGGATTTAAAGTCACTAACTATGAAATAGTACCTGAGAAGAAATCAGAGAAAGACTCGGAGGACGAGGTTGGAAATGAAAGTTTTTTATATGCCATTATTTGCTTGCGATGAAAATTTATTCAGTAACGGACAAGATAGCATGCCTTACATGACATCAATGGAGATTGCTAAAAAGTCACTAATCCAAATGACAATTTTGAGAACGAACTACAATCATGGACAAAAGGCTTGGGACACTTGCATTTCTGAGGCGTTTTCCAATTCACACAGGTCCAGCTCCTCCCCTCACGCCACAAACAATGTTGGACACGTGTATCCAGAATTTTTTCCGAGTTTCAACTTTGTATAGGGTGGAGGGAGGGAGAACTGCTAGAAAATTTCGAAAAGGATGCACTGTTTCAAGAGCGAACCGAGAAATGACAGAAAAAGATGGATATTGCAGTACTGTCCCAAGGACTTTTGTCCAGGATTGTAGTTTTGAAAATATTAATATAGCTAGATACAGTTAACCAAAACGTTCTGAAAAGTGAAATGGCAGCGATGCTGAAAAAGGCAGAACGGCTGTGAAAAACAATAAAAAAAGGAATATCAATTCAGAGGAGAAAATGGAATTTAAACCAAGTGGTACAAAATGTTTAATACGTTGGGCCCCGAGTGCCCATTGCTATTTCAGCGGGAGGTCCGGTTGGCCAATTCCCAGAATAAGCCCTGCTCAAAGTTTGGAAGTAGTGTTGGTGCTTTTCAATGCGCTCAATTGCCACTGAAAATGATACTGAAGAAGAAATTGTGATTAATACTGCTCATAGATATGCGGCATTTCCACAAGAAACAATTCTCAGAAGACAAATCATGACAATTGGAAAGCGCTCCGACATGGTTGCCAAATACCTATTTTTAAGATATACTTCAAGGAAGCAACTAAACGCCGATTTAACACTTCCACAGATGCCCGACAATCCCGCAAATCCGGATGAGGACGAAGACCCGTACAACTTGGAAGAATTTGCTTCGCAGTTAATCGAAGATGAACATCAAGGCGATCCAACGAGTTCTGATCCCTCTGAAAACGTCAGTGTCAGTAAAGAGCAAGAAGCAGATTTAAACAATGATGCGGCTAATAAGTCAAACATAAAAAGCGTTACTCACTACGAGAAATTACATTCTCTTCAAAGTGAGGAACCTTATTTGAGCGATTTTGAAGATCTCATGAGGGCTGATATGACTGGTTCAAACCCCTGCGATAAAAGTGCTATGGAATCGACGAAGGGTTCTGCTGCCATAAACCAAATGAGCACTGAGGATTTTTCTAGCTGTGAAGATAACGGTAATGAATCAGAGGATCTCTTAAGTAGCTTCACTAGAATTAAGAACAAAGCTGGTAGTATGGATCATTGCAGTAGAACTGCCACAGAAAGCTGCGAAATGATTCCGCCCACAGCAAGTTTAAAATGTGGACTAGATTTGAATACAGCTAACGACCTTTACCCGCCAGAAGGCGAGGAGTTATCCAGGAGTAGTGAAGAGCAAATTGAGTCATTAAGCGATGAGGACTCTGACGAGGGTCTTTTCACAAGATCAAAAGAAAAACGCGGAAAACCCAAAATGGTGTGCGCCCGGCCTAGCAATCGCTTGAGAGAGGGCCGTAAACGGTTTCGAAGGTGAGGTGACGTGTACTTATGGAACAATTATAGTCTAAGTATTTATTCAACCAGTCAGTCCGAGTTTGCAATTTATATGATTGCTGTTTAGCTATTTCTGCATACTGATAATGCTACGCTGAACATTGAAAAGATCTGTTTCAGCCCCAAAGTGTCAATTCAGCCTTGCAGGCTTAAGTCTGATTCAGCTCTTCCTGGAGCCATTTGAGCACAATTTAGGCCAAAAAAGCTCTATCAAAAGGCTATTCCAGCCCACGGTAGGGCTCATTTCAGCCCTGGGACCAAATCAGCCCTAGCTAATAGGACTGTATTGGCCCTGATTTAAGGGAGCCAAATTAGACTCAAAAATAAGACTGTATTTTACTCATCGAAATGGCCCTATTTTTAGGGCTAAAACAGATCTTTTTTATTTAGAGTGTATACAAGTTTTCGTCTTTGAATTTGAAACAAACCCTAATGCTATACCATTCAAATGAAAAAGGTTCTGGGACCAGTTGTTCGAAGGTCGATTAGCGCTAACCTGGGTTGAATTTTAATCCGAGTTTCTTTTTCTTTTGTTCAAAAGCATTTTGTGGGATAATTTTCTTTATTTAGAAAAACAAATTTGTGTGAAGCATGAATTTGCTTTTTAAGCTTTTATATGTAAATTCAAAACTCGAACTATCCCTGGGTTAACATAACCCAGCTTTGAACAACCCGGCCCTGTTTATCATGCTGTATCAAGATGGTTAACTTCTTATTTGGTGGAAGTTTGTAAGTATTCCTGTCCAAATGAAGACTGCTATTAAATAGGGGAGGAAAAGACGGATTTATTAGTTTCACTTGCCTTTCACTGTTTGAGTAGATTTCCTGGAAAGAAGACTCCGATTGATGACGTTAATAGCAAGGAAATTGATGTAAAACGATCAAGAAAAGAAGATTCAGTTGAGCAGATTTTGGGTACGTCATACAGGATAAACATTCCATGTAGTGTCACGTAGTTTTAGTTGTTTAATTTTTTGTTTGTATGTTTGTACCAAGTTTACACCCCCGTACAAAATTGGTTCTTATTACGAAATTTCACTCCTACGGAATAAACATCTAGGTTGATTTATATGACTTGGAACCATTTCTTACTCTGTAAGGCTGGTTCGAATGATATTTCATGTTTTCTTACTTTCTTGCAAAGCCATGCCATGAAAAAACCGCTGGCTCTTCCCTATTCCTTCAGCCGATATGGCTCCGCTGGTAAGGAGGCCTAAATTCCCTTACCACAAACTGTTTTTAGAATATTCCACAAAATACAACCCCACTTAATGTTTTTTGGTCTCCGTTTGCAGCTCTTCAAGGTAGTCGATTCACCCCCTCTTTTAATTTTGTTCTTATTGCTTTTATCTTGGTCACTTAAGTTACTCAACAAGCTTTTAAGGCTTTTTTCTTTGCATCTGTAGAGTCGTGTGGAGTTCGTTACACCCACGCCAATAAGAACATTGTTGGACCGAGCGAGGCAGAAAATCACATGACCAAACAGGCGCTGCAGGATGTGTTTGAACTGAGGCAGTTTTCCCAACAACCTGCTAATTGCTTTCCAGCCCTGGAGGTAATATGCCCTAGAATCATTATGTAACGTTATAGAAGTTTGTCATCACTTCTTAAGTCTGGACAGTCACCCTCCATCACACAAATGAAAACTGTTTTACTAATTGTTTTTTGTCTCAGACAAGTGACGAAAGCGATGACCTTGGAGAGAGTCCTCGGAAGGAAAAACAGGATGCACAAAAGCCTACTGAAAAACCGGAAGCTGGGACAAGTAGTTCATATTCACCGCCATCAAATCGGTAAGACACCCACTACTTGCCTAACACTGAAGTCGAAGTTAAACGTGCGTGTCGTTAAATGCTAACGTTATGCCCTAAACAAAAGCACTCAAGAAATTTAGAGGTTGCTACTGTTTTACCGACAAAGTGGGAAAACGTAGTTGATTTTAGCCACGACAGTATCATGCCATAACGCGTTTGATATCGCGCGCATCTTCAAAAGTGTGCCCTACAATCCTGCAAACTTCGAAGAAGAATCAGATTTTCACTCCTGAGAATTAGTTATTGTGGCTGATAAATCGCGCGTTAACCTTCTGTAACGTCACTTGTATCGTGTAGACTTTGCATAAACAATGTTCTTGTGTAATGTGTGGTGTGACATATTCGGTGTGGCTTGCTCATTCCAAATCGTTAGAACCTCCTGAGATTAACATGGATATGGAATAATTGTATTACTCTGGCGGTAATAACTTTTTTGTGTGTTTTTGTTGTTGTTGTTGTTGTTGTTGTTTGGATAAGAAAACTATTTTTAACAAATAGTTCTCATTTTTTCTAAGTATCCGAAAACGCAAGTCAAAATAAAATCAGATTGTTACCAATCACTCACCGATGCGTAGGTTTTTTTTTTAATTATTTATTTTGATTTTTTTATCATTATTATATTTAATATTATTATTTTTAGGTCACTAATAATTGACCAGGGCGCCAAAGTGGAAAGGATTGGTAACAACACTGTTTTTGTTGGATCTACTCCCCGAGGAATTCGTCGACAACATTTTCGGGAGATGTCGGATAAATTCGGTTTTTCTTCGCAAGCTGATTTTGCCAAAGCTGTCGTAAGAAGCAACGACAAAGAAAGGTGGGAGATGCTGAAACGTTATTATGTAACCAGTAATCCGGTTTTGTCTGGTCTGTCTAACTTTACAGCTTGTGAGGTGAAGTCTGAGGGCCGTAAGGAGAGCGAAAGTTTAAAGCGCGCTCAGCGGTCTTTGAAGAGAACGCAGGAAAACAGAAGCCATGAAATGTCCAAAAACGCCAAAAGGAAACCACAAAACAGTAGAGCGAAGAAAGGGATCCTTGGGAAAAATATGGTATGTGAAAAAACTCGTGATAGACTTGAGAATCAAGAGCAAGAAATCTTAGATTGTCCTCCGCGTAAAACAGCTAAATCGTCCACTGTTTCTGAGGTTAGTCATGCTGTCAAGTTGAAGAAAAGTGCGGGTTTGATTGAATCTAGAGATACCTTCAAGGGTCCCACCCATAATGGGGAAGAAAGCGTTAATTCTACCAACTGTGGGTCTAAACTGAAGGAGCATGCCTTTAATCAGAGAAATCAATCGCCTCAAGAACACAGAAAATACAATTCGAAAGAGTCGCAATCGAATGCAGACACCGAAGCAAACATTCAGGAATCGTCTTTTGCTAGTACCTCATGTGCTTCAGTTTCAATTCTCGATGTATTTTTATCTAATGGTTCTGATGTCGGCGAAAGAAAACACACATCTGCGAATAACAGAGTCTGCCAAGTGAAAAGTTGTAGCGATAAAAAGCAAGATGGTTACTGCGACAAAAGAAACGAAAAAGAAGCTTTCAAGTTAAAGAAGAAACCCACCTCTATTTTAGATGACTTTATTTAGCTTCATTGTTTCAGATGATAAATTATGACAGACCAGCGTTTGTCCATTTGAGAATAGAATATTAAAGAATTTTAGTTTTTAAGAGACCACTAATTATATTGCGACTTTTAAAACGTTAAAAAGAAACTAGGCTTCCTGCAAACAACATTATTACTTACGCGCAGCAAATTCTCCTGAATTAAGTTTTTTAGTAAATTTTTATTATATAGAACAACAGTTATGTTCTGAAACTGTTGAGGACAGGCGGATTTGCCTGAACATTTAATAAAAGAAACCAAAAAGTAAAACCGCTGATGACCTGAATTTTGACGTCACAGAGTAAATTCCAGCGTGCAGGACAGGCGAGCTCTCCGCATTTCTTGTGTATGGCCACAATTTTTTGATTTTGACATTTAGGAAAGATTCCAAAATTTGATAGGGGAGGGCGTTAAAAGTTCGATCGACAAGTACGATGAACATAAGGCTAAAAGAAGGAAGGTGACAGATGAAAGAGAACTACCAATGCTACAGCATCATTTTTGATTTTGAACTCTGGGGAAAGATTCCAAGGTTTTGGTAGGGGACGGTGTTAGATGAGATGGTGTGTAGCTTGCGAAATCTACCCAAGAAAGAATTTCAAAGAGAAATTCGCCGACCTCTCCTGGACAGACAAGACGTTATGGAGCGTACACTTCGGCGCCGTGGTCGTGGGAACTGATTAATTGTAAATGCGGAGGAATAGTAAGAAATGATATATGGTGAGAGTAAAGTGTCAATTGAAATTGAAATTATGGGATTTGTCAATTGACTGTCTCTGAGATACTAGCCCAGTTATGCTCTGACGACTCCATACAAATCCTTCTAAATTTTGTCTTGGGTCTAAACGTACGAGTAACAAGTGAGTAACAAGTCGAGCAAAGCGAACAGTGAAAAAAAGAATTCTCTACTTTTTTTTTCATCAGGATTCAAAAAGAGCATAACAGTCCCCTGTACTGATTAAAGATATGTAAAGTATGGGTAAGGAGTCATTTACGTTGAGCATGGAATTGGCTAAAACTCAATGTTACGAGTTCGAATGTTTTGAGGATAACTATTCACTGACCATCAGCGGGCAGGGATGTCGGATTAACACAAAGAAATTTAATACCAAAGGAACATAGTCTTTACGGAGCTTTAAAACTCAGTATCCGCCGACACAAACTTGACTTGAACTTAGTAAAACTAAACAGCCTCTGCTAATAATAATTATTACTGATACATTCAACTCACTATCTAAATAATAATAATAATAATAAAATAATAATAATAATAATAATTTTATTTATATAGCGCTAAAATCCAATAATTGTCCAAAGCGCTACCTAATTACAAAATAAAATATAAAAAATATAAAATATAAAATATCTACAATATACAATATAATTCAAATATAGCCTAAGTTATCTACTATATAAATCAAAAACATCTCAAAACAAAAGGAATCTCATAACCTATATGCTAACTTAAATAAAAAAGTTTTAAGGGATTGCTTAAAAGTTGCCACTGAAGCACATTTCCTAATCTCTAGAGGTAAATCGTTCCACAATTTAGGTCCTGCAATAGAGAAAGCTCTGTCTCCATATGTTTTCAATCTGCTTCTTGGAACCACTAAGTATTCTTTACATGAAGAACGCAATGACCTAGAGTATGTTTTAAAATTCAAAAGGTCAGAAATATAAGAAGGTGTTGTATACCAATAAAAGGACTTTAAAAGTTATTCTAAACTCAACTGGTAACCAGTGAAGATTAATTAAAATAGGAGTTATATGAACATGCCTCGGTGTCAATGTGACAACACGAGCTGCAGCATTCTGAACTGCCTGTAGTCTAGCTAACAGATACTTAGGAAGGCCATGTAATAAGGAATTACAGTGATCAAGTTTCGAACTAATAAATGCATGGACTAAGATTTTACATGTATCTTGGCTTAAGTACTTGCGGATTTTAGCAATATTTCTCAAATGATAGAATGATGATTTACAAATGTTCTTAATGTGCTCCTCAAAACTAAATATGCTATCAAACTGAACCCCTAAATTACGAACAGAGTCACGAGGTGCAATGCACTCAGAACCAACAGTAATGTGACCGATGTCAGGCATAGGATGGAATCTGGAACTGATGACTACAAGGTCCGTTTTGTCCTGGTTTAGTTTAAGATAGTTTCTTATCATCCATTCATCAATGTCCCTCACACAGCATTCCACTCTCAACTTCACTTGTTGGATGTCATTCAAGCTGGTAGATTTAAAGGTAATATATAATTGGGTGTCGTCAGCATATAGATGGTATGATAGTCCATGATCATTTATTATGTCCGCAATAGGTGATGTGTATAACAAATACAACAAAGGGCCCAGAACTGATCCCTGAGGGACACCACACTTCAATGCACGTTGTGAAGAATGACTATTCCCAAATTTAACATACAGCTTACGTGAAGACAGGTATGATTTCAGCCACTTAAGCACAGTTCCTTGAAAACCAAAACAAGTAGACAGCCTTGTCACTAGAAGAGTATGGTCCACCGTATCAAACGCCGCCGACAGATCCAAAAGTACCAGTATGACCGACTCATTACGATCTAAAGCACAAAGAATGTCATTTTGAACCCTCAGTAGAGCCGTTTCAGTGGAGTGAAATGACTTGTATGCGGATTGAAACGTTTCCGAAAGACCATTAGATGTAATATAGTCTGTAAGCTGGACACATACCGCTTTTTCCACAAGCTTGGACACAAACTTCAAATTAGAAATAGTTCGAAAACTTTCATATTTAGTGAAATCTCTTTTCTGATTGGCCGAAAGCGTACCGTGCATTTTCGAAATCAGCGCCTGGGACGTTATACCAGGTAATCATGTCATGTATGACCGCGGTGCATGATTTCCAATGGTAATCATGTCAAGTTAAATTCTTGAATGAAATTTGTTGTTGTTGTTGTAATAATGTATGACCTCATTAACGTTCTGCCACGCAGTAATTTGCAGTTTTTAATTTCCGCTATTTTGTTTGTTACTGATTGCACAGAGTCGAAACTTGGACAAACTGGTTAAATTAACCAGCTTTTTTTTAATTTTTGCCCCTAATTGGTACACAAGGCTACATCTTCTATAGGTTAACTACTATGCTAATGAGCAAAAATGTAAACACCGCCTATATTACACCCTAATAATTTTGGATATGTAAATAGTTTATACCATATCGCTCACCCGCTCGAATACTCGCTTGTTCGTCAGTACGCTACTAAAAACTATACCATGTTCTTATGTACTTTTAATTTTGTATGGGTTTATAAACTTACCACCAAGTCCGAACAACCTCTCCAGTGGTCTAGTGTCATATTTCAGATACGTTTCAGTGGTGTATAGCATTGCCGCTATAATTTTTGTCTGTTGAGGCAGTTAACTTTCGGTGCTTCCTCGGGTAAATAAACACATTTTTTCTCCGATCATACGATTATTATTCTTCTGCGGTATCCGCCATCTTCCGGGTCCAGTCTTTGAAGCTCGTAATTTTATTTTATTTATTTATTGTGGCAGAGACAACTGCTGGGTCAGTTGCGAGAGACTTCTCTTCGTTTTTCATCTCCAAACTTATTGATTTTTTTTTTGTATCAGTCTTTTCCGCTATTTACACCATTTATCTTAGCTTTGATATCCCCACAAGCATAATTTCTCACACGTGCGAATTTTGTCAAGCAATTGCATAACAAGATTTTTATGCTCTTCATAAACCAGCGATTTTTTTGCATTTGGCGTGCGTGAACTGAATTAAGTATTTTTCATTGGTAAGACGTGATGTTCTGAACTTGATGCTGAAATTGTGTCAGTTTAGTTTCAAAAATGTCTTTTCGAATGATGTTTACTTGACTGTTTAATTACCATCAAAATGAAATTATTTTTTAAAGGCGTCAGGCGTTGAGGAGACAATTTCGAATCTATATTTTAAACATATTGGGCCAGTTATTTAAAAGGAGTTTAAGCAATGTCTAACAAAACCGTGTTCTAAGCCATTTTCAGTTTGCCCAACGCTTTTATCTTAACACTATTTATTATGAAAAGTCTCATGGGAGCATTTGGCCTAGCCTGGAAAAGCAGTTATTTTCTCAACATAACCCACTGTGGAAGAGAAATGGAGGTCCAAAGATATGCTAAACCGCGGCCTAAGTCAGACATCGTTTAAATAACCGACCCATTCTTTTTTAATCTACCATTCGTCTAACCTGGTCCACTTATACAATCAACTGTCAAGTCTGGATTAAGATGTTATTTTTCAGCTATGTCACGGTGGACATTGCTGTTTGGGTCACTTCTGTGCTAAAGTCGTAACTTAGTGCCTTAACATTACCCAAAATGCTCCTGTAAAGTTAAGAAGAAGATATCAAACAAGTTCCTCAGGGAATACTAATCTGAATATTTTTTTGGTGGCTTCTACAGGCATAGCATTAACGTCCATCCTTGCCAACCGTTTCAAGAAACGAAAGGAAACAGTTTGAATGCCTAAAGATAGTCGTAAATAAAAAAACTTGACCATTATTTTTGGAATTCAAAAGGCGGATTCATCGTGACGTCATTGTTTTACATTTTTGCTCATTAGCATACGAGTTAACCCACAAAAGACCCCACAAAAGATGTAGCCATTTATACCAATTAGGTTCAAAAAATGAAAGAGCTGGTTCATTTAAGCAGTTTGTGCAGGTTTCAGCCCTTTGTAATCAGTAACAAAGAAAATTGCAGCAATTAAAAATTGCAAAATTACTGGGTGGCAAAACGTTAATGAGGTTATACATTATTTCTAAATTTTGCGGTCTTCAAAAAGAATGTCTCCTAAACTATCTGGTATATCGGGCTTAAATTTTCAGAGATATCTGAAATTGTTATGCTTTTTCAAGGTTCAGAAATTACATTTTATTAGCTTCATCAGATAATGATAAGCCTATGCTAATGAGACAAAAAATACGAACAGGTATTCGCCAATTAGATGCGCCAAAATAATAGCTTTTTGAAAAGATAGCGAATGGCTTTTCTTTTTTTTCTTGTTTTTTTTTTCAAGGAGCAACTATATGCTCCTTCAATTAATTTGTTACCTAGCAACTGTTTTAAAAACCGTTGTGGC